GAAGTTAGAGAGAGACATATGTGATGAAAAGCCTTGTATGACAAGCTGAGCTTGGATTTTATTCTGAAGTTGGTGAGCTACCACATGATCAGATCTGCACTTGAGAACAAAACCCAGTCCTGTAAGCAAGAGCGAGACCCCGTCTCTACTATAAATAGAAAGAAATTAATTGGCCAACTGATATATATATAAAAAAAATTAGCCGGGCATGGTGGGCATGCCTGTAGTCCCAGCTACTCGGGAGGCTGAGCAGAAGGATCGCTCGAGCCCAGGAGTTTGAGGTTGCTGTGAGCTAGGCTGACGCCACGGCACTCACTCTAGCCTGGACAATAAAGTGAGACTCTGTCTCAAAAAAAAAAATAAATAAATAAATATTCCCACCGTGACTACACATCAAGCTGCCAACATAATGTTACTGAACACAGAGTAAAGAGCAACATGTTCATACCAGAGTGGATACAATAGCTGTATTAACACATAAACTCAAGAACATAGAGGATAGCAAAATAATTAAAAATTGATAGTTTTTTAGTATTTGTTTCCTTTGTTTTTGATAAAATTTATTTTAATGGAAACTTAAATGATTTAATTTTTTTTTTTTTTTTTTTTTTTTTGAGACAGAGTCTCGCTTTGTTGCCCAGGCTAGAGTGAGTGCCATGGCGTCACCCTAGCTCACAGCAACCTCAAACTCCTGGGCTCAAGCAATCCTCATGTCTCAGCCTCCTGAGTAGCTGGGACTACAGGCATGCGCCACCATGCCCGGCTAATTTTTTCTATATATATTAGTTGGCCAATTAGTTTCTTTCTATTATAGTAGTAGAGACGGGGTCCGCTCTTGCTCAGCGCTGGTTTCAAACTCCTGACCTCGAGCAACCGCCCGCCCCGCCTCGCCTCCCAAAGTGCTAAGGATTACAGGCGTGAGCCACCGTGCCCAGCCAATAATTTAATTTTTAATAATAGTTTAGCAACCAGCTCACAAAATTCCTAAAAATTTGCCACTTAGCTTTCAATAAGCTGCTGCAGGTCAACTCTAGCATACCACTGGATGGAAACATAGAAGAATAAATAAATGAATAACTAAAGAAACAAATGAACCTCTGGATGCTAATATATTGTTGATCCTTCATATTGGTTTTAATTTCTAAGAACCTATCAAAAATTTTAAGAAATAAAATATTAAAATATATATACATAGATATGTATATCTCCATATCACTTTAAAAAAGAACTACCTTGCTGAGCATTTCAGTTAATTGAAGTGAGAATTACTAAATGATACACACTCCTATATAAATGTTGAGGGAAAAAATAAGAAATTAAGTGTTCTTGTAATGAAATGTAATTAACTTTGCATGAAGCAATTTTAAAATAAGATGTAGCTTATACTGAGAAAAAGACTTGAATACTGAAATATTTATGATATGAAATGACATGATTCCTGGAATTTGTTTTAAAATATTCCATGAGAAAAGGAGAAAGGACTCAGGAATAAAGCAAGAATCACAAAACGTTGATGATGTCTGAAGCTGGGTGATATTTACATATAGGTTTATTTTCAGGTCTGTAATTTTTGTCTATGTGAAAAACTTTCGTAAGACATTTGGTGACAAGAACAGCAGCCCTATATTACCAAGCGGATTTCGTGCTAGACG